AGACTTGTATTGTTCGAGTCTTAGGACAATGGATTCTTAGAGAACATCCACATTACAACAGTGTTGCCTCATCTGATCCTGAATCACGTCGTTACTAAACAATAATTACATGGCAACAACATTACAGAGCGGGAGCATTAGCTTCAGGCGTGTTCCAAAGATTAGCATAACCCTAACCCTGAGGACGACCGGGACGAGTCAAAGCCAGAGGACCAAAACAAACCTTTCTGAAAGTTACAGTGCAGTGAGACCAGAGACACTAGAGAGAGACCAGAGAGAGACCAGAGAGATCAGGGAGACCAGAGAGAGACCAGAGAGACTAGAGAGAGACCAGAGAGACCAGAGAGAGACCAGAGAGAGACCAGAGAGACCAGAGAGAGACCAGAAAGAGACTAGACAGAGACTAGACAGAGACCAGAGAGAGACCAGAGAGAGACCAGAGAGACCAGAGAGAGACCAGAAAGAGACTAGACAGAGACTAGACAGAGACTAGACAGAGACCAGAGAGGGACTAGAGAGAGACCAGAGATTGAGTTAGTGGCAGGAAAGATTTGGTCGAAGGCGGGTTGAAGGCTGAGGCGACCGGGGGTTTTGGACAAAATCTCTGTGTTTTTGTTCAGTGGAAATGAGGCGATCGAAAAGAGCCAGTTTTTCAATGCATCTAACTCTTTCCTCTCACATCAGCTCTGAGCCCGAAGAGGCACAAAGTGACTCACGGGGCTCCTCCTCAGTCTGGACTAAAATATTTTCAAATGTTTCACAGATGAGATGAAGCCAAGACTCATACTGGGGGAAGATGTTAAAGAAACTTGACACCATTTGAAAGAACCACTGGTATCATTTTAAATAGTCATGTTCTTTGCCAATTGTTCCATTTCTATCTGACTCTCTAGCACCCCCTATGCCCCACTCTGACATCTGCACCCTCTGTGTAATCAGTGACTATTGTGTTTACACAGAAACATAAACATGAGCCAAGTCTCCGGAAGAGTTTTGAAGAGACCAGGATCTAACCAGGAGCTCTGGAGAAAGTCTGTCCAATCAAACAGAGACCAGAGAGAGACCAGAGAGAGACCAGAGAGAAACCGGAGAGAGACCAGAGAGAGACCAGAGAGAGACCATAGAGAGACCAAAGAGAGACCAGAGAGAGACCAGAGAGAGAGCAGAGAGAGACTAGAGAGAAACCAGAGAGAGACCGGAGAGAAACCAGAGAGACCAGAGAGACAAGAGAGAGACAAGAGAGAGACCAGAGAGAGACCAGAGAGACAAGAGAGACAAGAGAGACAAGAGAGAGACCAGAGAGAGACCAGAGAGACAAGAGAGACAAGAGAGACAAGAGAGAGACCAGAGAGAGACCAGAGAGGGACCAGAGAGAGACTAGAGAGAGACTAGAGAGAGACCAGAGAGAGACCAGAGAGAGACCAGAGAGAGACTAGAGAGAGACCAAAGAGAGACCAGAGAGAGACCAGAGAGAGAGCAGAGAGAGACTAGAGAGAAACCAGAGAGAGACCAGAGAGACAAGAGAGACAAGAGAGACAAGAGAGAGACCAGAGAGAGACCAGAGAGAGACCAGAGAGAGACTAGAGAGAGACCAAAGAGAGACCAGAGAGAGACCAGAGAGAGAGCAGAGAGAGACTAGAGAGAAACCAGAGAGAGACCAGAGAGATACCAGAGAGACCAGAGAGACAAGAGAGAGACAAGAGAGAGACCAGAGAGAGACCAGAGAGACAAGAGAGACAAGAGAGACAAGAGAGAGACCAGAGAGAGACCAGAGAGAGACCAGAGAGAGACTAGAGAGAGACTAGAGAGAGACCAGAGAGAGACCAGAGAGAGACCAGAGAGAGACCAGAGAGACAAGAGAGAGACCAGAGAGAGACAAGAGAGAGAGCAGAGAGAGACCTAGAGAGAAACCAGAGAGAGACCGGAGAGAAACTAGGCAGAGACCAGAGAGATACCAGAGAAAGACAAGAGAGAGAGCAGAGAGAGACCAGAGAGACAAGAGAGAGACAAGAGAGAGACGAGAGAGAGACCTAGAGAGAAACCAGAGAGAGACCGGACAGAAACTAGGCAGAGACCAGAGAGATACCAGAGAGAGACCAGAGAGACAAGAGAGAGACCAGAGAGAGACCAGAGAGACAAGAGAGACAAGGGAGAGACCAGAGAGAGACCAGAGAGAGACTAGAGAGAGACTAGAGACCAGAGAGGGAGAGACCAGGGAGGCAGACCAGAGAGAGAGACCTAACAGAACACATAAAACACCAGGTTTGGACTGACATAATATAGTTTGGAGCTAAAGCAGAAATAAATGACATTCTGTGAAGAACAAGACAAGACAAAATGGAGTGAAAGCTAAAATACGGATGAGATTATGGTTAATCCGGAGTGATAAGGGTGAACCAGGAAGCAGATATTACATATATGGTAACGTTTAGGTCAGACATACAGTATGTCTGATTACCAAGTCTGCAGAGGTATGTCCTTCTATGGTTTGAAAAATATATAACTGGTTTGTTCTCCTATCACACCTGGTTCCTCTCTCTTTCTGCTCTCTCTCTGGACTCTCTTTTATCTCTCTCTCTGATCTCCCTATCTCTCTTTCTCCAGTCTCTCTCTGGTCTTGCTCTGGTCTCTCTCTGGTCTCTCTCTGATCTCCGTATCTCTCTTTCTCCAGTCTGTCTCTGGTCTCTCTTTCTCCAGTCTCACTCTGGTCTCTCTTTCTCCAGTCTCTCTCTGGTCCCTCGCTGGTCTCTATCTCTTGTATTTCTGTGAAATGTGTGAAGTGGTTAGCCATGCTTCTAGGTTCAATTATTCAGGCGTAAATAATTGAATGGTTAGCCATGCTTCTAAATTCATTCATACAGGTATGAAGTGGGTTGCCATGCTACTGGATTAAAGACCTTATGACGGGTTTTAAAAAAAAAAAATAGTGGATATCAAAATTGCATGACAATGTCAATTTGAAAGAGATTCCGGCAAAAAAAATCCTATATTTTATAAAAAAAACGTGTTTTTCACGAATTTAAGTTGTCTATGCTCTAACCTGTGTGTGACGTCATAGCGGGTTACGCCCATGCATTGAAAACCATGGATCTATGCCACAGGACTGCCTTTTCTCTCTTCTCTCCACTGGTGCCCAACACAATACTGCCCTCTACAGGTGACAATTGCTCACTACACATAAATTGCCGTTTTGAGTGTGAAGAAGTGTCCGAGGTGGGATTTGAACCCAAGTATTTGGATTAGCAGTCCATCGACACAACCACTGGACTATCTCAGTGATACATTCTAGTAGTTATCTTAGACTCGCTGTAGACGGCCTTGTCATCTTGAATATCCGCGAAAAAAGAACGAATACCAAATTGTAAACAACTTATAGCGTTGAAACGTACCCGTTCTGACGTCACCAAGGGCTGGGAAGTTTTTTCGTCTCTAAGGGCGTTGCTATGGGGTTATTTCGATTTGGGGGGATCAGACAAAAAAAACAACAACTGATTTTGAAACCTTTAGTAGTTCTCTTCTAATATAAAATGGTATTAAAACTGTATTTCTAAATAAATCAAACCCGTCATAAGGTCTTTAAATTAATTGAAGGATTGAATATAGCCTTGCTTCTAAATTCACCAGCTTGTCTTAATGCATTCTGCTGCTGCATAGATGTATATGTGAAACTTTGCACTTTTTCAGAGGCGTGTATTTGTTTATGGGACTGAATTTAAAGCTGGGGTACGTAACATTCCAGCCATAACAATGTCAAATGTTAGAAAAATCGCTCACTATCAGCACTTCGCCGAAAGAGTAGGGTCTCGGTCTGGTTTAAGTCTGGTCTTGGCCTGGTTCTGGTTTTATTAGATCCGCTTTTTTTAGATATAAAAGTGAAAACACAGAAAACCACGCCGATCCCTCAGCCAATCAGCTCTCAGCCAATCAACTCTCAGCCAATCAGCTCTCACCCCAAAGCGCCAAAAAGTGACTCATAAAGCTCTTTCCTGCGAGTGAATGAGAAATATAACATGTTTTCATTGACATAATGTCTTCACAACTTTCTACCTTCACAAAACTCTTTCCACTGAGACAAACAACACGTATTAATGAATGCAACACAAACTTAGGTCCCCCAGCTTTAACTTGCTCCACAGTTTTGGTCAGTAAACGTGTTTTAATGAAGAATATTCCTTTCGCCAGCTCTGCCAACTCTCTGAACCCGTGCGTAATCCCTAAACGTGGTCTACTCCCCCTTTACCCACTACCCCTCACTCTCTCCAAACTTGACCGGAGAGAGACCAGGGAGAGACCAGAGAGAGAGACCAGGGAGAGAGAGAGAGAGAGAGAGAGAGAGGAGAGGGACTAGAAAGACAAGAGAGAGAGAGACCAGAGAGACAAGAGTGAGAGACCAGAGAAAGACCAGAGAGAAAGAGGCCAGAGCAAGACCAGAGAAACTAGAGGGAGACCAGAGAGAGACCAGAGAGAGACCAGAGAGAGACCAGAGAGAGCCAGTCCCGGATAGCAGCATCGAGACGCGGGCTGGATGACAGATGTACCGCTACGCCAACTTTCGACAACTTTTCTCCCGCGCGTAAAGCAGAGCCTGGGACCACAAGCAAGACGCAAAAAGGAAAAGAAAAAACTTCTTTCAGCATCACAAGCAACTCCAAGTTACTCCCGTTTTTTTTTTTTTACTTTTCGTTTCTTGACTTTGTGGAAATGGCAAAGACTTCTCCACCGGTGAATGGATAAAGTCTGCGCTTTGTTGGGTGCAATTGTGCGGAGTTGGAGAGACGCAAACCTGGACTCAAACTGGGACTTATCCGCTGGAGGACTGGAGGATTTAACCATGCACACACCAGGACTAACCCGAGCCTAGCACCGGGATCTGTTGGGGGAATCTTTGGCTTCTTTATCAGAAATGTTCGGCTTCTTCGCTTCGACTCAAATCTAAAGTTTTCCATACACATTCTCTCAACTTTTGTTTAGTGTTTTCGCTCTCACGCGTCTCTGGCACCATGGACTGGCTGTATCTGCTGCTCTGGTGGTTCTGTCTCCTTTTGCGTTGGATAGCGGCTGCAGAGACACATGGTAAGTATTAAGATGGTTTTGTGTGCGCGCGTCACGGATGCACGTGCACGCTCGGCCTGGATTCGGCTTCGATGCTGGGTCTGGGTCTGGGTCTGGGTCTGGGTCTGGGACTGGGTCTGGGACTGGGGCAGGGACTAGGGTGCAAGCTTGGATATAGAAAGAGACTATAGGGCATTGTGGTTGAGACAAGCAGGCCATAGATAGAGACCAGAGAGAGACAAGAGAGAGAGACCAGAGAGAGACTAGAGCGAGACCAGAGAGAGAGACAAGAGAGAGAGACCAGAGAAAGACAAGAGAGAGAAACCAGAGAGAGACTAGAGAGAGACCAGAGAGAGAGACCAGAGCGAGACAAGAGAGATAGACCAGAGAGAGAGACTACAGAGAGACCAGAGAGAGAGACAAGAGAGAGACCAGAGAAAGACTAGAGCGAGACCAGAGAGAGAGACAAGAGAGAGAGACCAGAGAAAGACAAGAGAGAGAAACCAGAGAGAGACAAGAGAGAGAGACCAGAGAGAGACTAGAGCGAGACCAGAGAGAGAGACAAGAGAGAGAGACCAGAGAAAGACAAGAGAGAGAAACCAGAGAGAGACTAGAGAGAGACCAGAGAGAGAGACCAGAGCGAGACAAGAGAGATAGACCAGAGAGAGAGACTACAGAGAGACCAGAGAGAGAGACAAGAGAGAGACCAGAGAAAGACTAGAGCGAGACCAGAGAGAGAGACAAGAGAGAGAGACCAGAGAAAGACAAGAGAGAGAAACCAGAGAGAGACTAGAGAGAGACCAGAGAGAGAGACCAGAGCGAGACAAGAGAGATAGACCAGAGAGAGAGACTACAGAGAGACCAGAGAGAGAGACAAGAGAGAGACCAGAGAAAGACAAGAGAGAGAAACCAGAGAGAGACTAGAGAGAGACCAGAGAGAGAGACCAGAGAGAGAGACCAGAGCGAGACCAGAGAGAGACCAGAGAGAGACAAGAGAGAGAGACCAGAGAGATACCAGAGCGAGACCACAGCGAGACCAGAGCGAGACCAGAGAGAGACAAGAGAGAGAGACCAGAGAAAGACAAGAGAGAGAAACCAGAGAGAGACTAGAGAGAGGCCAGAGAGAGAGACCAGAGAGAGACTAGAGAGAGACCAGAGAGAGAGAGAGAGACCAGACAGAGACAAGAGAGAGACCAGAGAGAGACTAAAGAGAGACTAAAGAGAGACATGGGAAACACCAGAGAGTGATACCATTGTTTTGTGTGTTCAAAGTTACATACCCCAGCTTTAATAGCATGTATACAGAGCCACATGCTCCAGCTGTATATGGGGTCAATCACAATGTGCCACTTTCGTCATGACAACAATTCAAACCAGGAACTATTGATTATCGGCCTGAGCCTGGAGCCACACCAGCCTGTGTCAGCCACTCGATATCTATGGTCCACTTGTCTCACTACAATGCCCCAGTCTCTTTATCCCAGCGCACACCCCAGTCTCTCTCTGGTCTCTCTCTGGTCTCTCTCTGGTCTCTCTCTGGTCTCTCTCTGGTCGCTCTCTGGTCTCTCTCTGGTCTCTCTGGTCTCTGGTCTCTCTCTTGTCTCTCAGGTCTCTCTTTTCTCTCTCTCTGATCTCTCCCTGGAGTCTCCCTGGTCTCTCTTGTGTCTTTTTCTGGTATCTCCCTGGTATCTAACTCAAGTATTTCTATTTTCTCTCTCTGGTTTCTCTCTCTCTCTCCAGTCACTCTGTCTCTGGTCTCTCCCTGGTCTCACTCTCTCTCTCTCTCTCTCGTCTCTCTCTGTTCTCTATCTGGTCTCCCTATGGTCTCCCTCTGCTCTCTTTCTGGTCTCTAGTCTTTCTGGTTGCCCTCGGCTCTCTAGTCTCTCTTTCTCTGGTCTCTCTCTTTGTTCTCTCTCCCTCTGGTCTCCCTCTGGTCTCTCTCTGCAGTTAGTAATATATTTTCTATATTACCAACAGAGCAGTCTACATGTTAGATTCATTTGAGGGAATACAGAATGGAAAAAAAAAACTTTCCAATCAAGCACATGTCTCCTCTGTGTGTGTGTTTGGCCTCTTTAAATCAGCTTTTTCAGAAAAGTGAAAAAGAGAGGACCACCCTCACTCAGCCAATCAGCTCTCAGCATAAAAGGAAAATGTAGAGATTGTGCGTCCTTTAAATCCCTTTCCACCATCAAGAGAAACACACCACTGGAGTAACATTTGTTTTTTCAAATAGTAATGACAGAAACTCTTCTTCTGGCCCTGATCAGAAGTCTCCATCTCCCAGTTCTCAAAAGTGTTTACTTCCCCTTTAATATCTACGACTGCTTTAGTGTTATGCAGATGTAGATGAGGTTCTTTACTCGTTCTGGTCTCTCTGGTCTCTCTCTGGTCTCTCTCTGGTCTCTCTCTGGTCTGTCTCTGGTCTCTCTCTGGTCTCTCTCTGGTCTCTCTGGTCTCTCTCTGGTCTCTCTCTGGTCTCTCTCTGGTCTCTCTGGTCTCTCTCTGGTCTCTCTCTGGTCTCTCTCTGGTCTCTCTCTGGTCTCTCTGGTCTCTCTCTGGTCTGTCTCTGGTCTCTCTCTCTGGTCTGTCTCTCTGGTCTGTCTCTGGTCTCTCTCTGGTCTGTCTCTGGTCTCTCTCTCTGGTCTGTCTCTGGTCTGTCTCCGGTCTCTCTCTCTGGTCTCTCTCTGGTCTCTCTCTGGTCTCTTTCTTGTCTCTCAACTCTCTCTGATCTTCTCAGAAAACCACTGATTCTACTTTCCAAAAAGCCTCCAGTTCCTTTCAATTCCAGGGCTGCCTTGCATGAACCACATTTACTGCACACACACACTAAATCCTGAACCTTCTCCAACATTTTCTTCGTCATCTTCTCTAGAAAAACTCTCTGGAAAGCTCAGCGAGTACGGCCTCATGGTCCCCTTCAGCACCGACTCCAGGGGGCGCTATCTCTCCCACGTGGTCTCGTCTGGTGACCCCACGGACTCAGACCCAGACCAACGGACGAGGAGGGTTCCCAGAGACTTACAGTCCTCAGACCAGACCAGTAAGACCTCCTCCCAGTCCACCTCCCAGTCCACCCAGACCTCCTCTCACCTCTTCTTCAACGTCACTGTTTTCGGCAAAGAACTGCACCTGCGTCTCCGGGCCAACAGACGGCTGGTTGCTCCTGGTGCCGCGGTGGAATGGCAAGAGGATTACCAAGAGAAATCCAAAGAGCGCCTTCACGGAGACTGTGTCTTCACCGGAGACGTGAGCGACATGCCAGAAGCCACCGTGGCCATTAGCAACTGTGACGGACTGGTGAGTGCATTTCCCAGATGGAACATTCAGATCCTGATTCTGTTCAATGTAAAGATGATATACAGTATTATTAAGTCTGTCGGAGGCCGCAGAGACGTGGATTTTGTGAATGGAAGTTGTGAGCTTCAGAATCATAGACTGTATACGGATGGACAATGCTAGCCTGCTAGCTCAATGAAGCCTAACAGGGAAGGTTCCTATTTAGATTCATTGAAAAGTAAACTCCTTTAGCTAGGTTGGCTAGGATTAGGAATAGAGTAGAGTAATTGAGAGGAGAGATGAGGAGAGAGGAGTAGAATAAAGGAGAGATGAGATGAAGAGAGTAGAGGAGAGGAGAGTAAAGGAGAGGAGAGGAGAGTAGAGTAGAGTAAAGGAGAAGAGAGTAGAGTAGAGTAGAGTAGAGTAGAGTAGAGTAAAGGAGAGGAGAGTAGAGTAGAGTAGAGGAGAGGAGAGGAGAGGAGAGTAGAGTAAAGAAGGGGAGAGTAGAGTAGAGGAGAGTAGAGTAGAGTAAAGGAGAAGAGAGTAGAGTAGAGTAGAGGAGAGTAGAGTAAAGGAGAGGAGAGGAGAGTAGAGTAGAGTAAAGGAGAAGAGAGTAGAGTAGAGTAGAGTAGAGTAGAGTAGAGTAAAGGAGAGGAGAGTAGAGTAAAGGAGAAGAGAGTAGAGTAGAGAAGAGTAGAGTAGAGTAAAGGAGAGGAGAGGAGAGCAGAGCAGAGGAGAGTAGAGTAGAGGATAGGAGAGTAGAGTAGAGTAGAGGAGAGGAGAGTAGAGTAAAGGAGAGGAGAGGAGAGGAGAGTAGAGGAGAGGAGAGTAGAGTAAAGGAGAGGAGAGGAGAGGAGAGTAGAGGAGAGGAGAGTAGAGTAAAGAAGGGGAGAGTAGAGTAGAGAAGAGTAGAGTAGAGTAAAGGAGAAGAGAGTAGAGGAGAGTAGAGTAGAGTAGAGTAAAGGAGAGGAGAGTAGAGTAGAGTAGAGGAGAGTAGAGTAAAGGAGAAGAGAGTAGAGTAGAGTAGAGTAGAGTAGAGTAAAGGAGAGGAGAGTAGAGTAGAGTAGAGTAGAGTAGAGTAAAGGAGAGGAGAGTAGAGTAAAGGAGAAGAGAGTAGAGTAGAGAAGAGTAGAGTAGAGTAAAGGAGAGGAGAGGAGAGGAGAGCAGAGGAGAGTAGAGTAGAGTAGAGGATAGGAGAGTAGAGTAGAGTAGAGTAGAGTAGAGTAGAGTAGAGGATAGGAGAGTAGAGTAGAGTAGAGTAGAGTAGAGTAGAGGAGAGTAGAGTAAAGGAGAGGAGAGGAGAGGAGAGTAGAGGATAGGAGAGTAGAAGTAGAGTAGAGGAGAGTAGAGTAAAGGAGAGGAGAGCAGAGGAGAGTAGAGGAGAGGAGAGTAGAGTAAAGAAGGGGAGAGTAGAGTAGAGAAGAGTAGAGTAGAGTAAAGGAGAAGAGAGTAGAGGAGAGTAGAGTAGAGTAGAGTAAAGGAGAGGAGAGTAGAGTAGAGTAGAGTAGAGTAGAGGAGAGTAGAGTAAAGGAGAAGAGAGTAGAGTAGAGTAGAGTAGAGTAGAGTAAAGGAGAGGAGAGTAGAGTAGAGTAGAGTAGAGTAGAGTAGAGTAGAGTAGAGTAGAGTAGAGTAGAGTAAAGGAGAGGAGAGTAAAGGAGAGGAGAGTAGAGTAGAGTAGAGTAGAGTAGAGTAGAGTAAAGGAGAGGAGAGGAGAGGAGAGGAGAGTAGAGTAAAGGAGAAGAGAGTAAAGGAGAGTAGAGTAGAGTGAAGGAGAGGAGAGTAAAGGAGAGGAGAGTAGAGTAGAGTAGAGTAGAGTGAAGGAGAGTAGAGTAAAGGAGAGTAGAGTAGAGTAAAGGAGAAGAGAGTAGAGGAGAGGAGGACATATGTACCCTGTGCTATTGTCCTCTTGTTGTCAGGCTATTCTTTATCCCCAGGTCTTGTTCCTGTTTTATGTTTACGTTTTTTGTGTTGGATTTTTCCCCTGGATTTAGTTTTAGTTTATGAATCCAAGATGGCCGCCGAGAGCTCATACTGAGAGTTTCTTCACTTTGTTTGTGGTTGTTGGGGATTCTAGAGTTTATGCACTTCACGTCAAACTATGCAGTGTTGTTGAGGCTGCCCTCTGCTTTGCTAACCCCAAACTATTAGCATTCATAAAAATATATTTTGTGTCATGCAGCCAACTTTGTAATCTCTGATACAAATATGCTACACCCCATTGTAGCGCTCACAAAATTCTCACTGTCAGAGAGAGAGCAGAGAGATGGACAAGAGAGACCAGAGAGAGACCAGAAAGAGGCCAGAGAGAGACGAGAGAGACCAGAGAGACCAGAGAGAGACCAGAAAGAGGCCAGAGAGAGACCAGAGAGAGACCAGAGAGAGGCCAGAGAGAGACCAGAGAGAGACCAGAGAGAGACCAGAGATAGACCAGAAAGAGGCCAGAGAGAGACCAGAGAGAGACCAGAGAGAGACCAGAAAGAGGCCAGAGAGAGACCAGAGAGAGACCAGAGAGAGACCAGAGAGAGACCAGAAAGAGGCCAGAGAGAGACCAGAGAGAGGCCAGAGAGAGACCAGAAAGAGGCCAGAGAGAGACCAGAAAGAGGCCAGAGAGAGACCAGAGAGAGACCAGAGAGAGACCAGAGAGAGACCAGAGAGAGACCAGAGAGAGACCAGAGAGAGACCAGAGAGAGACCAGAGAGAGACCAGAACACTATAGTTCAACATCTGCTTGCCTCCTCTCTGTCATGTGTATGTTTGTGTGTACTACAGTTATCTGCAGAAAGAGCCACTTAGCAAAGTTTTGTGTTGTGTGTCGTGACCTGTAATAAAGACACCAGATTCTAGTCTGCTCCGGGACACGACCATGTGAGAGACAGAAAATAGGCACCTGGTGGAAGTAGACGTCTGTGCTCCGTCTAATGTCAAGAAACCAGAGAAAGAGACCAGAGAGTGACCAGAGAGAGACTAGAGAGAAACCAGAGAGTAGAATGAGAGACTAGAGTGAGACCAGAGACAGGACGCCCAAAGAGAGAGACTAGATAAAGACTAGAGAGGGACTAGAGAGACCAGAGAGAGCAACTAGGGAGAGAGCCAGAGACAGAGAGAGACCAGAGATAGATCAGAGAGAGACCAGAGAGATGAGAGAAACCAGAGACAGAGAGAGACCAGAGAGAGACTAGAGAGAGACTAGAAAGAGACCAGAGAGAGACTAGAGAGAGACCAGAGAGAGAGACTAGAGAGAGATTAGAGAGGGACTAGAAAGAGGGCAGAGAAAGATCAAAGAGAGATCAGAGAGACCAGAGAGAGATCAGAGCACACATATACAGTCGATCACTAAGGCATCATTAACGATGAATACATTAGTTTAGAAACCGAGGACGTCTCCTGAAGCTGTGATCATCAGAGGCAGAGAGAGTGAGACATGAGCAGAGACACTTAAAGCTGTAGTACCTGACTTTCACACCACAACAACACCGAGTCATCCAAAGTTTCTACCTCTCAAAACTGTTTGGTTCCATCACTATAGATTATGTCATGTCTAAGATCAGCTTTTTATAATAACAATAGTAAGAATGGTTTTACTTTATTCTCTGGTCACTTCACATTCTTTCACTCCCTACACATATTACTACTGTAGCCACAGCTGCCCTGGGGCACACTGACAGAAGCGAGGCAACCAGTCTGTGTCTTTGGCTCCTCAACCTCAGCTTCCACCAATCATTCTTTCTATACAGAATACTCATACTAGGCAACTACTGCTACTACTACTATTACTGCTACTACTACTGCTACTGATACTGCTAGTATTGCTGCTGCTGCTGCTACCAGGGATGCAGGGTGAGGTTGGTGATTGGTGAGGCACTGACTTCAGCCCAATCAGATGAACATATATATCATATAAATCAACACGAGAGCGGCTCATTCACAGTTAGTTTGGCTACAGCGGAATATGTTTCATGTCCGCATTGTTTGTTCATACAAAACGCAAAAGCATGAAAAAGCACATTTCAAAGTGTGTTATGGGTCTTACCTTAAAGCTGAACTGCACAGACCAGTTCAGACCAGTTTCATGTTTAAGTCCAGATAATAGTTTGAGCGTAGAAATGTAATCCTCCATTTGGAATTAAGTCCAATGAGTTTTAAAAAGTAAAACAAAACGTGTTTCGCTGCAGCCAACTCTTGGGTGCATCCAATTTCTAAAATCAAACTTCTTACCCTTCACCTCTCTTCCTTATGATTCATATCATCATTGGAAGTATAAAATTACCCAAAGTTCATTTTAAATGATCTAAAAATGTGTTATATGTATGTTAACCTTAGCAGAAGAACAAGAAAGGAGCTTTCTGATGAAATTGGATGCAGTCGAATGGGCTCACATGCGCCCCCCTGAGGCTGGCCTCACTTAGTGATACTACAAGCTGTGGTTGAGCACGATTAAGACCCATATTTGTTTCAAAAACACAATTTATGAGCCATCCTCTCAACTGTAGACATGTAGATTGTAAATGAAATATGTTGAACTTTGTAAACCGCGATAAACAGAGAAAACAGTTCGATAGCAGCGCACGGGCCTCTCCCGCAGTGAGCTGCTTTACGTCTCTCAAGTGAGGCCCGCCTCACAGCGCCGCTCTGTCAAATATGTGATTTCAAGGAAAAAAAATATGAAAAAAGGAAAATTTACATTGAAATAACACAATAGCACTAATCACTTGATACAATCCATCCATCCATCCATTTTCTTCCCCTTAATCCATTTCTGGGTCGGGGGGGTGGCAGTCAGAGCTGCACCCAGTCCACAGAGCACCAGCCCCTCACTGATCCTCCTGCAGGTGGTGAGTCCACAGGAGCTGAGATCTTTCAGTGGGGGCTTCAGGCAAAGTGGGGTTAAGTGTCTTGCCCAAGGACACAACGACAGCAGTCATCAGTGGGAGTCGTGAAGTAGGTCTTACGGTGGGCTTGAACCCACGACCTTCAGGCTCAAAGGCCAATGCTCTACCAACTGAGCTACTGTCGCCCCTGTCGCCGACTTGATATACAGTAATGACCAAGTATTATTGTTTCCATTTTATCCTTTTTTCTTTCCATGATCTTAGGTGAGGTCGGGCCTCACCTGCCTCATCTGACCGCACGTCACTGCTATTACTACTACTACTGCGACTGCTTCTACTGCTACTACTACTGCTACTACTACTACTACTACTGCGACTGCTTCTACTACTACTACTGCTACTACTGCTATAACTATCACAAAAAAGCAGAACCACTTGACTACAGGCAGCTCCAAGGAATTCAAAAACTAATTTAACTTTATCGACAGTTCTGTTAAGGGTTACCATGGAGATAGACTAGAGAGAGACCAGAGAGGGACAGATCAGAGAGAGAGACTAGAGAGAGTCCATAGTAACCAGAGAAAGACCAGAGACTGACCAGAGAGAGACCATAGTAACCAGAGAGAGACCAGAGACTGACCAGAGAGAGACCAGAGAGTGACCAGAGAGAGACCCTAGTAACCAGAGAGAGACCAGAGACTGACCAGAGAGAGACCAGAGAGTGACCAGAGAGAGACCCTAGTGACCAGAGAGAGACTAGAGAGAGACTAGAGAGAGACCAGAGAGGGACCAGAGAGAGACTAGAGAGAGACCAGAGAGAGACCAGAGAGAGACTATAGAGAGACTAGAGAGAGACCAGAAAGAGACCAGAGAGAGACAGAGATCAGAGAGAGAGACTAGACAGAGACTCGAGAGACCAGCAGGAGAAAGGAAAGAGACCAAAGAGAGACCCAGTGAGAGAGACCAGAGAAACCTTTCCATGGTTTTCTAAAAGCCGTGAACAGTGTACATATTGCAGAGCAGATGTAGAGGGTTGCCACGGCGATGGAGCTGTAGCTAAATGCCACTCTCAGATCTCATTAGTGAAGCTTGTGTTGCTAATTGCTGTTGGTTCGTTTGCATATCTGGAGGAGAACGGTGCGAGCGCGAGAGAAGACATACTTTCTCTTCCTGGCTGTAACTATCGAGGCACATTTGCATTAACATTCTAGACCTGGTTCGTCGCTGTCTCTGGCTCTGACCGTCACGTTACCGAAAACTGTTGGTGTCACACTCACCATCTTGGGCTTAAATATCGGTGGTTTATGGTCCTGTGTGGTCCTGGTGTTTGTGTTTTGATGGTGTGGTTGTAAATCCAGTTTTAACTCCTACTATCTGACTGAATTCAAGATTTGTTAGCATTTTCAAGCTAGTTCACAATGTATTAGCAAGTACACTGAGCTTGGAAGTGGCTGGAGCTAGTTTTGAAGCTTGGGTCCTGGATCAGAAAGAGACTAGAGTGAGAGACTGGAGAGAGATCAGAAAGAGACTAGAGTGAGAGACTGGAGAGAGATCAGAAAGAGACTAGAGAGAGAGACTAGAGAGAGAGACTGGAGAGAGATCAGAAAGAGACTAGAGTGAGAGACTGGAGAGAGATCAGAAAGAGACTAGAGAGAGAGACTGGAGAGAGATCAGAAAGAGACTAGAGTGAGAGACTGGAGAGAGATCAGAAAGAGACTAGAGTGACGGACTGGAGAGAGATCGGAAAGAGACTAGAGTGAGAGACTGGAGAGAGATCGGAAAGAGACTAGAGTGAAAGACTGGAGAGAGATCCGAAAGAGACTAGAGTGACGGACTGGAGAGAGATCAGAAAGAGACTAGAGTGAGAGACTGGAGAGAGATCGGAAAGAGACTAGAGTGAAAGACTGGAGAGAGATCGGAAAGAGACTAGAGTGAAAGACTGGAGAGAGATCCGAAAGAGACTAGAGTGACGGACTGGAGAGAGATCGGAAAGAGACTAGAGTGAGAGACTGGAGAGAGATCGGAAAGAGACTAGAGTGAAAGACTGGAGAGAGATCCGAAAGAGACTAGAGTGACGGACTGGAGAGAGATCGGAAAGAGACTAGAGTGAGAGACTGGAGAGAGATCGGAAAGAGACTAGAATGAGAGACTGGAGAGAGATCAGAAAGAGACTAGAGAGAGAGACTGGAGAGAGATCGGAAAGAGACTAGAGTGAGAGACTGGAGAGAGATCAGAAAGAGACTAGAGAGAGAGACTGGAGAGAGATCGGAAAGAGACTAGAGTGAGAGACTGGAGAGAGATCGGAAAGAGACTAGAGTGAGAGACTGGAGAGAGATCAGAAAGAGACTAGAGAGAGAGACTGGAGAGAGATCAGAAAGAGACTAGAGAGAGAGACTGGAGAGAGATCAGAAAGAGACTAGAGTGAGAGACTGGAGAGAGATCAGAAAGAGACTAGAGTGAGAGACTGGAGAGAGATCAGAAAGAGACTAGAGTGACGGACTGGAGAGAGATCGGAAAGAGACTAGAGTGAGAGACTGGAGAGAGATCCGAAAGAGACTAGAGTGACGGACTGGAGAGAGATCAGAAAGAGACTAGAGTGAGAGACTGGAGAGAGATCGGAAAGAGACTAGAATGAGAGACTGGAGAGAGATCGGAAAGAGACTAGAGTGAGAGACTGGAGAGAGATCGGAAAGAGACTAGAGTGAGAGACTGGAGAGAGATCAGAAAGAGACTAGAGTGAGAGACTGGAGAGAGATCAGAAAGAGACTAGAGTGACGGACTGGAGAGAGATCGGAAAGAGACTAGAGTGAGAGACTGGAGAGAGATCGGAAAGAGACTAGAGTGAGAGACTGGAGAGAGATCAGAAAGAGACTAGAGTGAGAGACTGGAGAGAGATCAGAAAGAGACTAGAGTGACGGACTGGAGAGAGATCGGAAAGAGACTAGAGTGAGAGACTGGAGAGAGATCGGAAAGAGACTAGAGTGAGAGACTGGAGAGAGATCAGAAAGAGACTAGAGTGACGGACTGGAGAGAGATCAGAAAGAGACTAGAGTGAGAGACTGGAGAGAGATCGGAAAGAGACTAGAATGAGAGACTGGAGAGAGATCGGAAAGAGACTAGAGTGAGAGACTGGAGAGAGATCAGAAAGAGACTAGAGTGAGAGACTGGAGAGAGATCAGAAAGAGACTAGAGTGAGAGACTGGAGAGAGATCAGAAAGAGACTAGAGTGAGAGACTGGAGAGAGATCGGAAAGAGACTAGAGTGAGAGACTGGAGAGAGATCAGAGGGAGAGAGAGACCCAAGAGAGACCAGAGAGAAAGACCATAGAGAGACCAGAGCAATACAAGAAAGGGAGGAGAAAGAAACCAGAGATAGACGAGAGAGACTTGAGAGAGAGACCCTCTATGGATCTGCAGCCTCAGTCCCACTTTCTTTTGAGTGGAGGATCTAAAGACAGTGATGATTATACATTGTCCATTCCGCTCCATTTCCGCAGCCTGAATGAGGCTGATAATAACATATTTTTGGTCTTTTCTTTGTCAGAATCCAATATCTCTGTAGCTTGTGTTGCAATCTTATGAAAGAATTGCAACAATGTCTGTGTCTCTGTGAATATGCAAATGTTTGATTACATCTGTCCTCCAGCAGTGCAGGAGGAGTCATGTTGGACCAGATCACAGTATAACAGCGGGTTTGAACCATAGACTGTATACCAATGGACAATGCTAACCTGCTAGCTCATTTAAGCCCCATAGAGAAGTGCTCATGGATGTAGTTGGGCTCCATCGCGCTCTGGCTCCTATTATCCTATGTCAAAGTAAACTTCTCTAGCTCAGTAACCGTTTGTGTCTCTGTGATCTTATTGACCAATCAGATGCTTATATTTGCTGTCTTAGCAACACATCTGCCCCTATTACAGCATGCTATCTTCATCTTATTGAAAAATCTGTAGTCTCTTTCTGGTCTCACTCTGGTCCCTCTCTGGTCTCTCTCTGGTCTCTCTCTCATGTCCCTCTCTGGTCTCTCTCTGGTCCCTCTGTGGTCTCTCTCTGGTCCCTCTGGTCTCTCTCTGGTCCCTTTCTGGTCTCTCTATCCCTCTCTCGTGTCTCTGATCTCTTCCTGGTTTCTCTCTGGTAAGTAAGTAAGTAAGTAAGTAAGTAAGTAAGTAAGCTTTATTTATATACCGCCTTTCACAGACCAGAGTCACAAAGCGGTTTACAATTGTTATTTTTTGGGCACTTGTCCTCTCACTCCACACAGAGATGGGAGCGGGGTCGCCGAACAGGAGGCGCATGCCAGACCTATTTGGTCTCTGGTCTCTGGTCTCTCTCTGGTCTCTCTCTGGTCCCTCTCTGGTCCCTCTCTGGTCTCTCTCTAGTCCCCTTCTGGTCTTTCTATCCCTCTCTGGTCTCTCTGATCTCACTCTGGTCCCTCTCTGGTCTCTCTCTGGTCTCTCTCTCATGTCCCTCTCTGGTCTCTCTCTGGTCCCTCTGTGGTCTCTTTCTGGTCCCTCTCTGGTCTCTCTCTGGTCCCTCTGGTCTCTCTCTGGTCCCTTTCTGGTCTCTCTTATCCTCTCTGGTGTCTCTGATCTCTTCCTGGTCTCTCTCTAGTCCCTCTCTGGTCTCTCTCTGGTCCCTCTCTGGTCTCTCTGGTCTCTCTCTAGTCCCTCTCTGGTCTTTCTATCCCTCTCTGGTCTCTCTGATCTCACTCTGGTCTCTCTGCTCTCTCTGCTCTCTGTCAAGTCTCTCTGCTCTCTCTCTCAAACCAAAATAGATGCTTATTTTTCAAGTCAAAAGCAGAGTAGTGGGGGTGTTGCATTAGCAAGGCAATAAGCGTAGCATGTGTCATATATATTTATAATATGTCCATGAGAGTGACTTGATGATGAGAGACCTGGGAGTCTTCAAACGCCTCAGAACAGAACCCCCACTGGGCTTTGAACCCTCTCTTCGTCCTCCACTTTGACAATAGATCGTTACAGACATGTTTAGTACAGCAGTCGTCTGTGTGACCTCCAGCCTCATTTTAATGTCTAAAATTTATTGAAAAATAATTAATGAGCATTAGTGACGTCCATGCATCCAATTTTCTTCTGCTTTATTTTGCGGGGCAGCTGTCTAAGCAGACTCACAGAGAGACCAGGAAGAGACTCAAGAGGGACCAGACACATAAAAAGACAGGAAATATCAAACCGTAACATAATCGATATGATATGAAGTCTCTAGCCGCTATATTTTTAGCATTTAGGTGGTTCTTGGGGTTCCATGTGCAGCGGCTCTACTCCGAGCTCCTCT